CCATGATGTCCGCACTAGCCCAGGCGGGTGCCCGCCTCTTGCAGTCCTGGGCAAGCTCCCGGGAGCCGCCAGCCCGGTCCCGGGAAGAGAGAGAGGGCTGGGGGGCATCGGGTGGGTGGCTCGATCCGTGCCAGGTGCAGGGTCTGCTGGCTGAGTGCTGGCAGGCTTGCACCTGGCACGGGCACCGTAGCCAGCCCGTGCCCCTTTAAGGGGTCCGGGGCCGGGAGGGGGGCAGTAGAGTTTCCCTGGTGTTGGCCAGAGTGGCCACCAGGGAAACCTGGGGAGGGCTAGCCTCCCACTAGTTTGAATTAAGGGGCTACAGAGCCCTTAATTCGAACTAGTAAATTCGAACTAGGCTTAATCCTCGTGGAATGAGGATTACCTATTTCGAACTAAGTGCTCCGTTAGTTCAAATTAAATTCGAACTAACGGAGCGCTAGTGTAGCGCCTATGAATGTTAGTTCGAACTAACTTTGTAGTGTAGACATACCCTGGGAGATTGGAACTGTGGGGATTGATCCACTGAAGGTTGATTTAAGCAGGTCTGCTGAAGCCCCTCTAAATTGACTGATGGTCATTCTCTCGTCAACTCTGGTACTCCACTGGAACGAGAAGTATAAGGGGAATCAATGGAAGAGTTTCTCCTGTCGACCACATACAAAGGAGATACCTCAGCAATTCAATCAAGGTACATCAACTCTAGTTACCCTAGTCAAGTAGCTGGAGTTGTGTAACTTAGATTCATATTGCCCCCCTAGTGTAGACACAGCAGGGGGATAAGACCCTAGATACCAGGCTCAGATCTGAACCTGGCCAATTATGCCACAGTTATAGAACCCTGAAGACAAAGCCCCATGAGCCTGAGTCAGCTGACTAAGGCCAAATATAGGTGTTTAATGATTGTGTGAACATACCTTTTATCCAGAGAGTTTTCCCTCAGACACCAGTGGGAGTAGAAATGAGCTGTAGGTCATACAACTTCCAAATAAGGTTGGCAGCATGGTCTACATAATCTGGAAGATAGCATTTTAGTGAATTTTTATGCAAATACATTTCTGATCCATGTTACTATACACGTAGACTGCATGTTTGCTCCTTTTTCTAATTAGGACATGCATAGACATTTAACACGTTTTTTATATAAGCATTTATTTTATATAAATTAATATTTGAGTTCAGATTCTGCCTTTGATCATTGCCCAGAATGCCTGCTCTTGTGGCCATGGTTTTAAGGCAGTTTTGGACCTGATTCTGAAATGTGCTGAACACCTGTAACTCTCACTGAAGGCAATGTTAATTGCAGGTGCTTACTTCACAAAATCACAATCCTGCACAGAGATAGAAACTGGTTAAACTTTCACATGCCTTATGTTCATTTGGGCTCAGTTCCGTGAGATGCTGGACACCATTAAATACCATTGACCACAGTAGAATTTGAATGGACTCCTTTTTAGAATCAGATCTATTATGACTAAAAATTGGTGTCTTGCCATGGATTAAGCAACACAGCAGAACTCTCCATGTCCCCTCCATTTAGGTAAGTCCACACTGCATTGGAAGGTATAATTTCCAACTGAATATACATACTCATGCCAACTCTGATTGAGCAACTGTACTAAATTTAGGAGGGTAGCCATGCTGGCAGGAGGAACTGGCTGCCCTGAGTATGGATCCAAAACTCTCAGTACCTACTTGGGGTGGATAGTCGCTCTCATCATTCATGCTGCTGCAGCTGCAGCTGCATCTCTATTTTAGTGCCCTAGCTAGATCAGAGTTAGCACAGTTATGTGTCCTCAATCTGGAAATTATATCTTTCAGTTTCTGGGTAAATGTACCCTGAATGTCAAATGTCAGCCTTGAATTCTCTGTCTCTCGCTCTCTCTTTCTCTCTGTGTGTGCTTGTATATATATATATATATATATATATTTGCGCCCTGTTCCTTTTCTAGAGAATGAAGAATAGGTCAAGGACTATGTTCTATTTGGTAGCTGTACAGCACCTAGTATCCAGTTGGGTGTGCTGGGTGCTAATATAATAAAATAGTGAATGTAAAGCACACAGCTTCAGAAGTTCTGATATTCAATCATTTTTCACCCTGGTATTACAGCCAAAAATTTACTGCTGAATTCTTTGCTCATTTGGTATGCCTAGAGGATTCTTATCTCCCAGCTCTGCTGTTACATGTTGATCAGATTTTTTTGGACTATGTAAAACCTGAAATACAGGGTTACGGAGCAAGAAAGGTGCAAACTTCCCCTCCCCCCCCCCAAAATAACTCAACTCTCAACCTCCTAAAAGCAGAATATATTTGTAAGTTCTCTATCTTCTGTGTGTCTCCCTAGTAGATCTGCATTCTGAGTGACAGGAGAATGGAATTCAGTTGTCCATGTCACCGCATTTATCTATTCATGTTTAGTCTAAATTTAAATAAATAAACAAATGTATTTAAAATCACTGAGAAATCCATTCTTGATATCAAGCTCTTCTGACAACCACTGCCTAAAAGCAATGGGGTGGAGGTTCTACTGAAGCTACACTGCAGGGAGAACAAAGGGCCAGGTCATGATCAGGGGCATCTTTATAGAAAAATTCTAAAGAGGGTGCAAAGTTATGTCAGCATATAGAACACCGTGTACGATTATATTATATCCAGCAAAGCTGGGAGAGGAAAGTGCTGGATATAGCTCTATAACAGTGTGTTTGGGAGTTCTGGGAGTATGACTGCACCCCTTACCCCATAACAAATGACATCCCTGCTCTCATCATGATGGAGGCTATGAACTGATGCAGAGGCATAGAGTCTTTGCATTCAGTTGGGTGAGTGTCTGTATCATGGTTAATAGTACTGGGATAAAACAGCCTCTAGTCCCCTTCCTACATGTGGGGGACAGTGGGTAGGGTCTCCTTTCTGTCCCTCAACTCTCAGGCCAGCACAGTTGAGATGGTGTAAAGGGAGAATTAAGTGGTACCCAGAAAAGGGCTGTTTTAGTTTTCTTCCCCCACATCCCCAGGATAAAGGCAACCAGGACTGAACTGTGACTCTCAGAGCTGTAAACTGCCCTTACTCTAGGAGGGTATGTCTACACTAGCTCGTTAATTTGATTTAAATATCCCGGGCTTTATTTGCATGTTCCCGTCCGGCTGCCATTTTTAAATCCCCCTTAGTTCGAATGAGCTGCCCGTGGCTATACGCGGCAGTTTAAAGTTAATCCGAACTAAATTCTTAGTTCGGATTAACTGTTAACTCCTTGTGGAATGAGGTGTAACACTTAATCCGAAATAAGGATTTAGTTCAGATTAACTTTAAACTGCTGCGTGTAGCCGCGGGCAGTTCGTTGGAACTAAGGGGGATTTAAAAATGGCGGCTGGACGGGAACATGCAAATAAAGCCCGGGATATTTAAATCCTGGCTTCATTTGCAACTCTGGTTGCCTGATTTGCCTACCTAGCTCGAATTAACGAGCTAGTGTAGACATACCTGGAAAGACTGAAAAATGGCAATCCGATTTGCTTCCTGTCTTTCAAATCCCTCTTTAAAACCATGACTTTCAGGAGGTCTTTTTATACTGATTCCCTCATGTGGCATGACTCCCCAATCTGTATCCTCCTCCGAAGTCCAGCTATAATTGCTGCATGCCACTTCACTCTATGTTGTACATTACCCTAGAGTGCCAGATCCAATACTCCCTGAACTAAATGGAAAGACTCCAACTGACATTGGTAGGTATAGGATTAGACCCTTAGGGCATGTCTACACTAGGAAATTATTTTGAAATAACTAAATTTGAAATAACTCCCGAAATGTCTATTTCAAAATAAGCTTATTCCCCAAGGAAAGTGGAAGTGCAGATTTTCAAATAACCAGCCCGTTATTTCGGGTTATTTTCAAATAACTCCCTAGAGTAGACCAGGGCTTAGATTGCAAGTTATTCATTCCAGATAATTTCTTTGGATTGTTTGATGCATTGCACAGTGCTCTACACATTTATGGTATAGAAGAAATAGTAATACTGTAAATTGAACTCTGCATAAGCATAAATGTTAACAATATAGTGGTACCCAACAGTCATGCTGTAGTTAAATTTTTCCATCATAAAAACTTTTGTAAGAGGTTGTCTATACTATGGCAATTTACTTAGGAAGAAAATATTTTTGTTTGTAAAATGCCCATTGCATCTCTTAGATGGTATTAAATAGCTGGGCAGTATTTATTTCATGACTTAACTTTTACTCTATTTTTTACTTTTTAAAGACCTTTTTGATCATCTAACTCATACCTCCTCCTTTAACTTTTGTTACATGAGAAAAGAAAAAGAAAATAATAAAAATTATCCAGTGTCCCAACTTTTGCTCAGTTAAACACAGCACTGTGTATAAAGTGTCTTGGGTTCTCCAGGTAAATCGGACTATGGAATTTGACCCAGATGGTCTCATGGAAACTAACACACATTTTTCTCATATGTACAGGAACCCGTGAAGCTCACCTTTCCCCCACTAGTTTTCCTTCAAATAACACCTTACCACTGCAAAATTTCTACCTATAGAAACTTCAGCCATTTGCAGTGTGTTTGGAGAAATCTGTCATACTGGGTAGGATACTTGCAGGCCTGCTGCGGTATTTTGTTAACAGCAATGATTTAAAATACCATGCTGGCTATGGCTGCACATTTTGTACTATCTGATCCTAAAACAGATACTCTGTGAATATTAAATATGTCTTTTCATTCTGCTACTAAGGAATGACCTTCAGCAACCTTGCCATTGCTTTTAAAGCTATGCCTAACTTAAAGACCAAAAAGAAATGTTCCCTTTACACAGAAAGGACAGTTACTATTAGATACTCAGTTTTTACACATTGTCAAATTGCCACAAGAGGGCATCTTGGCTTCATCAGCTTCAATAAATATATGGACTAATTATTTTAATCACATATTTTAGCATATTTTTGGACACATTAAACTTATGGATTCTGTTGATTTCAGAAATCTTAATTCTAATAAACCACAAGAGGAAAAGAGGACATTGAAAGAAAACCACTTCCAAGTGGTTTTATTTGATGTTACGCTGACAATGCAAGCTGTGTTAAGAAATGAGATAAGAATACTCATTCAAGTTACTTTATGTTTTCAGCCTCTCTTCTGAAATAGGTCTAATATATGAGCCAGGTCTTAGGAAGTTCTGAGGGACTTCAGTTTCAATTGATTATAACACATGTTGGGGGTGCCTGGCATCTCTCAGGGGTATTGGACCGGTTGTAGGATCAGACATTTTGAGAGCAATCTGGAGTCCAGTCCTGTGGTTTTGAGGGAGGCAAATCACTCATTAAAGTAAAATGGGAATTTTGCCTTTGTCAGTCCTGTAGGATCCCTATTTCTTCTTCACTTAATTTTGTCTGTTGGAAGAGGACAGAATCTGTTTGTGAACTGGGAGGAAAAGTTAATCTCCATGAACTAAAAACACTTCTGACTTGCTCTGTATAAAACACTATCATATTCTAATTTGCAGTTTTAAGGTGTCTGCTCTCCCACTTCCCCCCTTCTATAGTGCAGGCATGTAGTGCTGCCAGATGACTGACATATCCAGGCTACCCAGCAGCAGCTCTAACCAACTTGTGCTCCATTTGACATGACCCGCTGTGGATATCGATCAAGGGAAGTTCCACCTCAAGGGCTTGATAGACTGCTGCCCTAATGCATCTGATTGACTTCCTGCCCTATATAAACTAAAGGGCATTCCAGGAAGTTTCTGGGCAATAGTGTGGATCTTCTGTAGCTTCTATGACCATTTGTACTCCTTGCTCTTGAATTCTTCACTTGACTTTGACTTGATTTGCACTTTACCTCCTTACTTGAACCCAAAAATCTGACTCAGACCCTGACTCTTGGTGCGGACCCTGAGCTGCACCTGACTAAGAAGCTCTCTGCTACTCCCAGCCTTAGATTTGCCCCTGTTCTGAGCTTTGGCTTTGACTGCCCTTTTTGGGATTCTGATACCAGGGGCTGGCAAGGGGTTAAAAGCAGTGTGAAAACTATTTTTGCAATGAGATCATCTGTATTTTCTATACAATTTAAACGGGGGAAACAAGGTATGAAATCCATTTTTGCAGCCCTTAGAGCAGAAAAAAAATCAAAGCTGTCCTTATTGCTTCGCATTCTTTATGCTCCCTGGTTTTACTGAACAACCATACTGCCTTCCTTCAAATCATTTCTTAAAACGTGCTACTTTTGTGATGCATTTAACACAAGCTCTATGAAGCAGGGACTGTTAATCTCTATTTAAGGTCAAGTGTCCAGTCAGCTTACTATAAATGCTAATGTAATTCATTTATTCATATTGTGCTAGCAGCTCAGCAAGCCAGCCATGGACCAAGGTGTCACTGTGCTGTACACACACACAGCAAAAATATGCTCTTTTCCCTAAAGTGCTTAAAATAACATTAACATCACATCGGAGACTATGATGAAAAACTTGGTACTTTAACCATGATAGATAGGTATCAAAGTTACCTTTCAGCAATAAGAGGACCATTTAAAATGCAGATATAGGTCCAATTTCTGCCCTCTTTTCCTCACATACAGCTCAAACTCATTTGAAGTGGAACTGGTGAATTTTGTTGGGGAGTTTAGTCTTAGTGGAAATTCCCTGTGTATTGCATTGGACTTTTTGACTGGTCTCTCGTTTTCTTACTGAAGGAGCCTTTGATTTGTTCTAAAAACCAATTGCTGACTAGAAATTTTCAATGTGTTTCCAGTAGGATGATTAAAGCCAATTTGGGGAAGGAACCCAGGACACCCTGCCTGGGAAATGTTTTGATTCTATCAATGAAGTCTGTTCTCAACCTGTGATCTGTGAGGCTCTCACAAAATATAGTGTGTTTGTTGGGGAAGGGACAGATTTACCCCGTTTACTACTGTTTAGCTGAAACCAGCTACCATGTCTGACTGAGCAACTCTAGTTCTGGACAATGGGCTCTTTTGCCCAAGTCAGACAACTTTTGCCCAAGTCAGACAACATGAATAGCTTTCTTTCTTTCTTTCTCCCCCTCCCCCCCCATTAACTGGCTGTAGGGTCTACCACCAAAGGAGTGCAGGCCCTGGGACTGCGTCAATGGTTAATGGCTCTGGTGTCTGCTGAGTAATGCTCTTTGGTGAGGCTGAGGTTGCCGGATACTCTGTTCCTGTGGCTCAGGGTACATCTAAGTTACAGCAACATAGCTATGGTGCTGCACTATACAGCTGTAGCATAGATGCTACCAAGTCCCTACACTGCTTAGATGCTACCAAGTCCCTACACTGCTGGAAGGAGGTTTCCCCCTGAAAAGAATCCATCATCTCTAGGTGGGTGGAACAATCCCTTTTGCTCTAATGTTCTGCACCCAACCTTAGATCTGCCTAAGTTACTAAAACTTTTTACAGACTTGAGTGATGCAGCTAGGTTCCACCGAAGCTTTAGTGCCCAAGGCCTCCATCCAAGGATGCTGATGGCAGTGTGTGCAATACCTATCTCTACATCCCGGGCTGACACCCGGCCAATAACAATGTGAGTGAAAGCTGCATACCTCCTGGTGGCGCCGAGACCACGGAACGGTCTGCTACAGCCCTTGGGCCCATGCATGGAGCTCCAGAGATGGAATCCAAGAACCGTGTCAGGGCGATGTTACATGACCACAGTACCTACCGGTGCAGGGAGGCCGCTAGGACTCCGGCTGGGCGGCACCTGCTAAGCGGTGCTGCTCAGAGCCCATTTGCGAGGCCCTGTCCCATAGCCAATGCTGCCTGCTGCCGGCCAGGAGGGAGGGGACCCCCTGGGACCGGTGGCGGCATGTGTGTGCACTGGCTGACACGTGGGGAAGGCGTGTGCGCGGACTCCAGCCAGCTTGCCGGAGGGTGTGTGTGTGTCACAGCGGGCGGGCTGGAGGGGGGGGGAGGGATGGAAGAAGGATACTCCGCCGCTCCGAACGGCCCGTGAAGCGCCGCCGCTTGCCTCAGAGCCCCCCAACCGCGGCGGGACACCGGGGCCGTGCCACGCGCAAGCGGAGGCGCCTCTGCCTGGCGGGGAGAGGCGGCCAGCAGCGCCCTCTGCTCCCTGGCTGCGGAGAGCCGCCGCCGCTCGCTCCGGGGCGTGCGGAAGCCACGGGCAGCGGCTCGGAGCTGAGCAGCCGCGGCCGGAGCAGCTCCCTCGTGGCAGCGGGACCCAGCAGGTACAGCGCCTCGCCGCCGGCCGGGCAGGGGCCCAGCACGGACGCCAGGGTGGGGCGGGCTCGGACACGGACACGCGTGGCGGGCGGAGCAGCGCCTGGAGCCGGGGTCCCCCTTCTCTCCCCTCAGCCGCGCGGCGTCCCGCGGCTCGGGCTGGGCTGGGCTGGACGGCAGGGGTCGCTTGCGCCGCGGGCTCCTCCAGGAAAGTTCGGCGCCGTCCCGATCCGGCGGGCTAGGGCGGCGCGTGGGGTCACCCCGCGCCGCGGCAGGGCAGGGTGTGATTTGGGTGTGGCGGGCAGGAAGGGAAGTGAGTCCCCGGGCTCATCCCCGGCGCAGCTCGGAGACTAGCAGAGGCGGCACTTCACGTGTAAAATCCGCCCCGGCGTTTCCCTCCCCCAGGGCTTTGCGCTGCTCGGGTCAAAGCTCCGCAGCGCGCACTGTGCACTGGCTGAGATGTCCCGGGTGCCCCCCAGCTGGGGGCTTTACTCCGAGAAAGATGCCTGGACGCGCGCCTCGAGAAGCCTGGGCTCGCTGCCCTGCTGGCTTGGCAGCCGGCAGGCGGGCAGCGGGACAGGGCGGCAGCTGCAGACCGGGTATCTAGCCCGTGGGCAGCCTGCGCTCAGCAACCGGGGCACGCGCGGCTCCGGAGTCTATCCGTAGGCAGCAGCGTGGCCACGCCGCTTTGCAGGAGCTGAACCGGGACGGGGTTGCCGCGGGAGGGGAGGGGGATTCTGAGATGTCAATATGCAGCTCTCAGACAGCCGCGAGGCTCTCTGCAGAGCGGCGCCTAATGCCCTGCCGAGGCTGGCTGGCGTGCTCTCTTCTTCCTGCCCGGGAATTAGGGAGCGTTTGCTGGGGTGCTCTGGGCGCCTCTGCCCCGCAGATGCCGGCTCTGTTCCGCTAGCTACCAGGCTTCTCGTGGCAGCGCCGCAGCAGGTGCCAGAAGCTAGTTAGCACCGCTGGGTCTGCAGATGTCTTCACGCCCACACTGGGGGATACCCAAGCACGCTCAGCGCCAGCGATATCACCACTCAGGTGTTTTGGCTTTTGCACTTAATGAATACCTTGCAAATCGCTAACGCCCAGCTAGGCAGCAATTCGCGTTAACCTCCCCGTGGGTAATACACCCTTGTAATCGTGTTTGGAGTGGGCAATGGGGAATCAGGCTGAGTCACTCTTTTGGTCTGTGACCGTAAGCGAGTCAATTGAGCCCGCTGTGCCTCAGCCTACCCTTCCGTGGCACGAGGATAATTGTCTTTACTCACCGTTGCACACGCTCTGAGATCACTGGGAGGAAAGTGCTGCGTCAGCGCTCAGTATAATTTGGAAGCGGAACGTTGTTCAGCTCTTTTTTATTGGCCTGGATTTCGTGAGAGAGAGACAGACAGACACACACTTGCGGGGACGAGGGGGAGTCTCCCCAGACTGCAGAAAGAGGGAGCAATATGCCCATTAACTGCAAGTCCTCCAAAGACAAGCAATAGGTTTGAACCTCAGCAGTGCACCAAATTATCATTACATTGCCATCGCTTCCCCAGAAGTGGGAAAGGTACTGCTTTAGATCAGAACCCGTTATTATTGAAATGTTTCCTTAGACAACAGAAGATAAGGAATGACACAGGTGGATAGAAATATGCAGTCCCTGTGCATGTTCATTTAACTCTGTTAAACTCTGGAGTTTCAATTGCTGAGAGTAATGCTGGATTTTTCTTTCCCAGTCTTCATCTACTACAGCCAGACTCTTGATCTAACTAACTGCTTATTTTCCTCAAATGCATCCATCTTTGTAGTAATCAAGTGCCAGTTTGGTCTGTGGTGTTCACTGGAATGATATTGCTAACTTTCTCAAATTTACAGCAAGCTGTACGTTGGTTTTGTACAAGCAGAGATGGTGCTCAGGTGTAGCTGCCAAAGCACAGGGTTTCGTTACAAATATTGAAAATAGCTTTGGTTGTTTCTCGAGCAGAAACATTCAGCAGCATGGGATGCAGTTAGTCTTTGTTGGGTGTTGAAGAATCACAAACCAGCCACTTAGATTTCCATAAAATAAAATAAGACAAAATGAAACAACAATAATTTGTTCAAGAACAATAGGGATGATTTGGAAACAGTCAGATCACACACCAAACAGCTCATTCTTGTCTGCTCAGAAAGCTCATATGCATAGCTCTGTCCTTAGCTGCATTACTTACACAAGTGCAGACAGGAACATTAGTTGCAACAATATGCTCCATCACCTTTAACTATTTTTGCATTTCTACTCAACAGGAAAAGATTCATGGGTTCCATTTTATTCTTTAGTGAGTGGGTTAACACTGCAAAGTAGTTATGTAATAATCCACTAATTTGGATTATTACATGTGTGAAATATGATTCATTTAATCTTTGTCTTCATTTCTCTGCTGAAGAAAAAATGATGTAATTTCTGGGTACAGGTTTGTGTGTTTCAAAAATTGTGGTAGAAAGTAAATATAAATAATGTATTTTATAAAGTGTCTCTTCCCAAAACCATTGGGATGCTGCATATTCAGTATGCAGCCATTTATAATACCAATAATTTACTAAAATACAAAACTACTATATGATTATGAAAGCATTAAGAAACAAACTAAGAACAAACAAATCACAAAAAAATCCTCAACTCTAAGTTACAAAATAGACTCCAAACAGACCACATGCACCTCCACAGTATAACACAAGTGAGGATAAGTAACATGGCAAGAACTTTAGGTATATTACAGCCTCTATGAGTATGCAAAAATGCCATATTCATTTAGGGTATGTCTACACAACATTATTTTGAAATAACTAGCATTATTTTGAAATAACTTAGTCTGCATCTACACAGCAGGCAATTATTTCAAAATAATGTTGAAATACTGTCAAGCTGGCGGACTTCTTACTCTGCCTTCTGTAACCCTCATTGTACGAGGAATAAGAGAAGTTGGAGGAAAGGTGCTCTATTTTGAAATAAGTTCTGTGTAAATAAAAACTAAATTAAAATAATAAATTAAAAGACACTCCCAGTCTCAAAATAAGCTATGCAATTAGCTAGCTTATTTCTAGTTAAACCCTGCTGTGCAGACACACCCACAATTAGATGCTCTATGTCTAGGCTTTCTTACTGTGATACTCAAAGAAAGTTGATTTCAATGTAAATTAGAAGCCTGTATACAGCTGAGGATTCTGGCATTTGTGCTTACAATGTTCAGAATTTTGGAATCATTCTGCTTTTTGCTTCCAAAACCCTGTTGAAGTCAGGGGGAATTCAGAAATGAAAAGAATATAGAAATATGTTGTCAGACTCTTGGTTTTTTTTGTTTTTTGTTCTAGTGCATTTGTGTTTTAGGTCTGAAAGACTCCTTTTCGTCTTTTACACAGGTGCTGTCCAGCTGACAGCCAAATAGCTAGAACTAGGAGAGAGGATACGTCTAGACTGTAAGGCTTTTTTGGGATACCAGAGGTATCCCAAAATAGCTACCCCGCATCCAAAGAACACGTCCGCTATTTTGAAATAGCATCTTTGTAAACCTCATTTCATGAGGAATAAGGCATGTCTCGAAATAGCGCTTTAATTCAAAATTTGGTGCCAGGTAGATGTCTCGAAATATCGCTTTAATTCAAAATTTGGTGCCAGGTAGACATGCCAAATTTCAAAATAGCCTATTATGAAATAAAATTGAAATAAGATATGCAATTTATGTAGCACAAATTGTGTATCTTATTTCAATTTTAGAGTGCAGTCTAGATGTACCCAGAGTGAGGGAGGTCAAAGGAATACTTTCCACTAAGGGACTAGTTACATAAAAACTTCAGGGTACCTAAAGGCATGTAAAGATGCAGATAAAATGTCTATTGACATTTTTAGAAACACTTTGGTACTCAACTCCCACTGGCTTCAGTAGAAGTTAGGCTGTACTTGCATCTTAGGTGCCTAAAATACCCACTCCAGGACAATCTCATTGATCCCAGTTCACTCCCAGGAACCTTTCTGAACCCAGTTAAAGTTCACTTGCCTCTAATTCCTGGCAGCTCTCCCCAGATTCTGTGATGCAAGGGAACTCCCCGTGTGGCCAGTCTCAACCTTTTAGGCTCCACTTCTCTGGGTGAAACATGTTCTGCAGATGGCAACATATTGAGACAATACAAAATTATTCAAAATAGTTGGTTCTCAAGCTGATGGCAGAGAATTAATTACAAAGGGATCTCACAAACTGACTAGATGACAAAATGGTCAATGAAATTCAATACTAATAAAGGTGGAGTAATGCACATTGGAAAAATAATTACAAGTATAGATAGGAAATGATGGGGTCTAAATTGACTGTTACCACTCAAGAAAGAGATTCTGGCATCATTGTGGATAGTTCTCCAGAAACATCTGCTCAATGTGCAGTAGTTATAAAAAAAACTCAAAAACAAAAAACAAAAACCATACCCTATAGAATGTTAGGAACTACTAGGAAAGGGATTGATAATAAAATAGTAAATACCATAATGTCTCTGTGTTAATCTGCACCTTGAATACTGCATACAGATCTGGTCAACTCATTTCAAAGATATATTAAAACTGAAAAAGGTAATAAAGAAGGGCAACAAAAATGATTAGGTATGTGGCACATCTTCCATATAAGGAGAAGTTAAAAAAGACTCGGACTTGTTCATGTCAGAAAGGAGATGACCACAGGAGGAAATATGATAGAAGTCTATACAATTATTAAAGGTATGGAAAAAGCGAATAACCAAGTATTATTTCCCCCTTAACATAACAGAAGTACTAGGGATCAACAGATGAAATGAATAGGCAGCAGCTTAAAAAAAAACATAAGAAAGGATTTCTTCATACAACACATAGTTAACCTGTGGAACTCATTACCAAGGATGTTGTCAAGGACAAAAATATAATATAACTGGATTTAAAAAAAAAAACATTTTGTTCACAGAAGATAGGTCTATCTATGGCAATTAGCCAAGATGGTCAGGGACACAACCCCATTACTACAGTTGGTTCTAAACCTCCAAATGACGGAAGCGTATCATGTTGGCCACTGGGCAAGACAAGATGCAAACCTAGATGAACCACTGGTCTAATCTAATATGGCCTTGTTTTTTGTTCTTATGCTGTTGGGCTCCAAGGATTCAGTTCATAAGGTACTGGAAAATGACTGGCATCACTTGCAGCCCAAACAGTTTTAAAATGGGGCCAACGGGAGTAGAGAATATGGTCAAGAGAACCTGCTAATAGCCCTTTGTAAGTCAATTGTACTGAGATACTTTACTGGGCCCAACAGTTCTAACAGCTTGTCCACCCTCAGCATTGTGTCGGCGTCAGACTTCATGATAGCATTGACCTTGTGTAACACAGAGGCACTGAGACTATTGATAAGGGAGAATGATGTCTGTTCTACAGCCTTAGCTAAAGGCCAGTTGGCTGGCTCAGTCCCACCTGCTGATGACCAGGGTTCATTGGCTTTACGCTTACAAAAGTTTGTACAAAATTGGACTGTGCCATATGTGTTGTAGACCAAGCACAGGGCTCTTCCAGTCATACTTTTACTCCTGTTGTCAGCTTTGCATGCACCTCTTCTCTTACCATTTCCCATGTCCTTTTTGGTAAGGATGGTGGATATTCTCTTCCAAATTGCTTCATTCATGTAGCCAGATGACGCTGTATCCCATGTGTTCTTTCCAGACTTGTGGAGAATATTGGAGCAAGGGGTTTGATTGTTTGCACCACCTTGACCTTCTGACCTGATGAAAAGGCCTCGTTTAGCAATATGAGAGTTTATATTCCAGGCAAGTGGCTAAGTCAGGGCCTAGTCCAGTACTCACTAACCAAGGGTCTATCAAAAGAGTTTCCTGGGACGGATTACAAAAGCTTACATGGTAAATCTAACCATCTTACTCTTCAAAGCTACTCAGTAGGAGGAATATCTCATAATCTAACACTCATATGGGCCCGGGTAGGCTATCACTTTTGAGAATGGAAATGGCAATGGAAACCTGTCTCCTGAGTGGAAAGTTTATAGGTGTGCCCTTTGATTATACCCCTATCTTACCTCTGCTGAGCTCGGATGAGGTTTTTTTAACACCTGAGGGTATGTCTACACTACCCTCCTAGTTCGAAGTAGGAGGGTAATGTAGGCATACCGCACTTGCAAATGAAGCCCGGGATTTGAATTTCCCGGGCTTCATTTGCATAAGCGGGGAGCCGCCATTTTTAAAACCCCGCTGGTTCGAACCCCGTGCAGCGCGGCTACATAGGGCTCGAACTAGGTAGTTCGGACTAGGCTTCCTCGAGGTGTACCGGTAGTTCGGAATAGGAAGCCTAGTCCGAACTACCTAGTTCGAGCCCTATGTAGCCGCGCTGCACGGGGTTCGAACCAGCGGGGTTTTAAAAATGGCGGCTCCCCGCTTTTGCAAATGAAGCCCGGGAAATTCAAATCCCGGGCTTCATTTGCAAGGGCGGTATGCCTACATTACCCCGCTAGTTCGAACTAGCGGGGTAATGTAGGCATACGGCACTTGCAAATGAAGCCCGGGATTTGAATTTCCCGGGCTTCATTTGCAAGTGCGGTATGCCTACATTACCCCGCTAGTTCGAACTAGCGGGGTAGTGTAGACATACCCTTAGTGTCTTAAGGGGCTCCCTTAAACATATAATATACTAGAAGACTTACCTGGCATTTCCTGGAACCAGGGATGGGGGGTGGAGGGCTACACAGGCCTCTTGCTGGTATTCCTTGGGCCTGGCTCAGGGTCAGGGGGAGGGGGCAACCTGAGGCTGGAAGGGGACCAAGATTGGGGACAGAATGAGTGGCCTGGGGGAGGGGTGGTGCACAGACCTCCCACTGGCACTCGCTGGTCCTAGCTCGGGACTAGCAGGGGGGCCACTCAAGCTTTCCAGTGGCACTCCCCAGGCTCAGCCTGGGATTGGGGGGAGTGCACAGGCCTGTAACAGATGCTCCTGGGCCCTTCCAGGGGTGTCTGCTGCTGCTGCTCCCCTAGCCCAGACTCAGGGCCATGCAGGCCTCCCATCAGTGCTCCTCAGGCCTGACCTGGAAGGAAAGGGGGAACTGCGTAGGTCAGCCACCTGTGGCTGCACTGGGTGGCCTCGTGGTGTTAGTTGGAGCAGGCTGTGGCTCCTGGGATGGGGGCCATGGCTGCACTGCCCAGCCCTGATGGTGCTCCTCAGGGCGGCGGTGGTGGGGGGGCTGGTAGGGCTTTCCCACTCCCCTGTCAGTCCAGCACTAGGGCTGAAGCCCTATGAAGATAGGGATTGCAGTTAGGGGGCACTTTCCCCAGCTGGCCTCTCCCTTGGTACATCTGTTCCCAATGGACACTACAGTATAGCTGTTCCTTGCGCTCACTGTCTCCAGTAGTGACTGAGTATTGCGTCCCTCCACTCAGCCCCTTCACTTTCCATGTTATGGAAAACAATCACATTTCAGGCACATTCTGTTTTCCTGGCACAACCAACTTTTTCCTTGCTTATCCTACAAGTTAGGATAAGAGGAAAATGAATACCAAATTGTTGGTCCTAGCTTTTACCATTTAGGAGGAGTTCTTGAACAGACAGACTCACAGACAGATGGACTCACAGGCAGACTCACAAATTTCTCAAAGATAGATAGATAGATAGATAGATAGATAGATAGATAGATAGAATCATGATGAACATCTGTGCATATCACTCCTTCCAACCTTCCTTGCAACACATCCAAGATTCCATGGGTCTGGCATTCATAGAGCAGCGTGAACAGCGAGAACCCTGGCTTAGGCTAGCTCTCATGCAAAGAGAAGCAG